ACTAGTATTCTGGTACCATCACAAACAAATCCATGTGCTGCACAGCCTGGAGGAATATCTCCCCTTACAGCAGGAAGGAACCATTGATTCGTAACTATAGTAGGAAATAAAAAGCCAAAACCCAGAAAAATAGATTAGAAAAATATTTCAAACACTGAACATGTATTTTTAGACACCTCTGCTTTCTAAAGAATTACCTTTTATCTGCAGATAACTAAGGCTATTTGCGTCACACTAAATTTTAAATGAATTCTTATTTTCTTTAATAACAAGAAAAGCAAACACCTCTATCAAACCAAAGTTGCTCAGTACATGAATGAGCCCATGAGGTCACTGCAACTGTCAGTCATGAAGGGTCATCCAGCAATTTAATAGACTTGCCAAGAATAGAGGCTAATGAGGAACACAAGTGCAGTTCCACACAAAAGAGATAACCACGCTAACTCAGAAGGAGCTAGCCCTAGAAACAGAATTATTAGAGCTACAGCAGCATGGCACTGTGCCTGGACTTAACAGCCCTATTCAAAAACTAATTACACTGTTCTGGGACCCATTTTAATATCCAAAGAGTGGGAGAGGAGAGGCACAGAGCCAAGAAAAAGCAACTGAGACTGTCTGATCCAGCAGCATAGTGACGCCTAAACTGTTCTGGAATTTAAGAATTACAGGGGACAATGTCTTCGTTTTCCTACACCTTTTTATGAGCACGAAGAGGAGAAGCAGGAAATTAGAAGCTTCCAGTGAGCGTTGCTGCAGGGGATTAAGATGCTCTCACTGTGTGCCAGCTCCTCAAAAATCATCACGTGCACAGCAAGGGCCATGGATGACATCCCACACTCGGGCAGCTCAGGTCATAACCCTGCATCTTAAACCCCAGAATAAAAAAGGTCAGTTTGGGCCAAGCACTCATCCAGAAACTGGAGCAACTAAGTCATGATGCTTTTTGTTACTGCTGCAAAGGGGAAACACCTTAAGCAGAAAGTCTGGGAAGAAAAAAAAACAAGTCACGATAAGACTCATTCAAAAGGCATCCGTCAGAACCTCTGTTCTGATAGCATATCTATGTTAAGAGTTTTCTTTGGATTATTTGTTAGAACAGAAAGGTTAAGAGATTTTTGCGTTTCTCTGTCAGAAATGTGATTTAAGCATAGTAGATCTTTAAGCTATCTGAGAAAAGTCTGCCTGAAAAACCTCAAGCAGCCAACACTGTCTGACTGAGAAGCACAGATCAGTCACTGAACTCCCCCGTCTCGGCCCAAGCCCTGAAATTACACGCAAGTTTTCCAGCCTCATCCAGCATTCCGTACTGTAACTATTTGGGCATCTGATCTTTCATAAATAAAATCGGTCTTGGGCAGCTTCCTGTTTGGAAAGGCTCCCGATGCCAACATGTTCACTTTTCCAAACAAGATTCCCATTCCAGCGCATTCGGCTCTCGTGAGCTGCCGCCACCAGAGGGAAGGAGGGGGATCCGGACACTCGCAGGGACTAATCCCGCCTGCCGCCATTCAGCCGCGACCTGCCAGCGAAGAGAGCCTCCGCATCCCTGCGCAACAGCCGGGCACGGCAGAGCAGCCGCGACACGCACCGGGCCATCCTGCCGCTCGCTTTTCCCCAGCAAGGAGCACCAACCCCGCAGCACCAGCCAGGGCGCAGTACTACCCCAGGGAAGACCCCTGGCCCAGGCGTATTTTCCGCCCCGCCATTTCGGCTCCGGCCAGCTCCTCAGCCCGCCCGCCGCCCCCTCTGCCGAGCTTCCCGCGGGCAGCGCCGGGGGAGGACGGGAGGCCTGGGGGGTCCCGGCGCCGTGAGGAGCCCGGTGCCACCGGCGGTCGCATACGGGACAGCCCCGCCGCTGTCCCCCCCGCTCCGCCCGCCCCGCGGCGGGGCCCCGCCCCGCGCACCCGTGTTGTAGACGTGCAGCTCGTCGGCGATGCCCTCGTTGCCGCCGCCGAAGATGATGAGCAGCTCTCGGATGGCGACCGCGCGGTGCCCGTGGCGGGAGCGTGGCACCGGCCCCGTGAAGGAAGACACCCGCCTCCAGCTCAGCCCGGCGGCGGCCGCCGCCATCTCAGCGCCGCTCCCACAACGCACCGCGCGGCCGGGGCAGCCCGCCGGGGAAGGGGGAGCGCTGACGTGAGGGCGGCGGGTCCGTGTCCCGCCCCGCGGCCTCCTCCGCCGCAGCCCCGGCTCGGCGCGGCCCCCTCCGCTCCTGCGGCGCCCCCGGGCCCGGCCGTGCTCCGCCGGGATCCCTGTGGAGGGGCTCCATGCCTGCAGCGCACGCCGCCCGAGCGGGCGCGGCGTGGGCTCCTCTGCTTGGGGCACCCCCTCTGCCGCCGAGCCCTCAGAAACGTGTAGCATGTTCTCTTTTTTAATTTTTTTTTTTTTTTAACTGGCTAGCGGTAGGCGAGGCAATGCTGCTGCTTGCGAGGTGTGCGGCGAGAAAGAAATGAGTTCCTGTTTAAACATTGAAGGTTGAGATTAGCAACAGAGGTTTCGGTTCTACAGCTGGCAGCGGGTGATCGGAGTGAATTCGAAGGTCTCGTTCTGCAGGAGAGAAGCTGCTCTTTCCTGTGTGAGGGGAGTGTTTTGTGAGAATATAAACGTGTGATGCTGAGGGTAATCCAAAGAAGGTGTATCTGGTGCTAAAAGTCTCTTCTCATTGTTGAGTTCTACACGGTAAATGATGATGCTGACACGTATAATTGAGGTTGGACATTAGGAGGAATTTCTTCATAGAAAGAGTGATTAGACATTGGAATGGGCTGCCCCGGCATGTGGTGGAGGTGTTTAAGGAAGGACTGGATGTGGCACCGTGGTCTAGTTGACAAGGTGGTGCTTGGTTGTAGGTTGGACTTGATGGTTTCAGAGTGCTTTTCCAACCTGATTCTGTGAAGGTGTTACTGCATTGCCAGTAATCCCGAGGGTTCTGCCAGGTGAAGGAGCCAGTCCCAGTTCTGCAGGCTCATATGACTACGTGCTGCTCAGATCTGTTTAAATTCACATAGAAATGGAAGGGAAGGTGAAAAAAAACATGGGTGGATTATGGTGAACATGAGTTTAATACAACTTAAATATCATAGCACAACAAAATACTAATAGTTGTGGCCATCTGCACAAAGCACATAACTGTATGTATAACTCTTCATTTAATTTTTCTTCAAGTAGAGGAGAGATTCCTGTACAAAATCAGACACAGATAATACAGTTTGGGCATGTTTGAGGCGCATAGTTGAAATCCCACATTTTTGGCTCCTGCAAATGGAGCAATCGTCATTTAAAACAGTTAAGATTCTAAAGACTTTTATTGACTATTACTCATAAATTTGGCACTGCCTCACAATAAAAATACAAAAAATAGTTTAGAGTTGAAGATGTTTATTGTTATTCCTTTCAGTACTCATGAAAGTCTTGTTAAAAACCAGTGGTTTATCATTTAGAAAGCTCATTCCTAGAAGGGAGGGACAGAATTCAAATAAAAGAAGTGCTGTAGAAAGAAAAGTACAAAAGCATTCCAGGAGAGTTTAGTAGGCAGGGTATCACCATGTGCTGGTTACCTTAATCCGAGATCCTTTTGAATCTAAACCAAACCTGTGGATTAAATGCTCAAAGATTAGAAAATGAGATTATTCAAGTCAAAATGCATGTTCAGAGTTGACTTTTGCAAGTTTCCTGTAGCTTTTGACTCTCAAGAACTCTGCCAACAGACACTGGAAAAACTTTGGATTTCTGTTAGACTTTGGCATGTGGTAGTCTGGCTCTGGCACACTAGTTACCTGTTCACATTTACCATAAATAATGACTAAAAGCATAACTTGCATCTAGATTTTGGAAGTAACTTCTGGAAGGGTTTGTTTCCTTCTCTTTCCCCCACCCCTTTAAGACTTTTTGTCTTGTGGGATTTGTTTGCAATCTGCTAGCTGAAGCTCTGAGGCAAGTTTGCCAGATCTGGGGCTGTATCATCACTCTGCACATCTGGAAGTGGTTTATGTGCTCACATTCCTCCAGCACAGCGTCTGGACTCTGCACTATTCCTCAGCAGCAGAGAAAGGAAAGAAAACCAGCACAGCTCCAAAGTAAATTTTGAAGAGTTCAAAAAAGGAATTGAATCATAAAACTGTTACTGTGCCCTGTAAGGCCCTTGTGTGGGTGACTTCAAAGGAGGATGGTGGTCGAGGGTGCTTTGGCAAGAGTGCTTACAGATGTGGGCTATCTAGGATCCAAGTAAATAACTACAGCGCTTCAGGAGAGAGGAGTCCCGAACACTGTGCTGCTTTGAAGAGGTAAAAAGACTAATTAAGCGAGAAATATCTGAGCAGTAATGTCACTGTTTTTGAGCTTTCCTTTCTGCAGCCTCCGTTTTGTTACAGGATTTGGCAGCTGAGTTAGGGACTGCCAGGTTCCAGGAAATAATGTCTACAGTAAATGAGTAAATATTTGCAGGGGCACAAATATACCTCTCTTTTCTTAAAAATCAGTAGGTAATCAACTGGTGTTTCAGAGGCTTAGGAATGCTGTAGTTGTAGAACTCAGACTTGTGTGAGAGTCTGTCTTTTGATTTTAACATTTAAAACATGGTTCAGTTTATGTGGATTTAATAATTTCTGGAGATAACATGAAGCTGTGGCTGTGCAGCTTTCATCTTGCAGTGATCATCAGGATTGTTTGTGGCTATTGTTATGAATGCTAATTCAAAGATAGTAGGCAGCTCTATGGAAATCAGGGGAAGATTGTCATCAGCTAAAGTGGGGTTAGAAAATTAGTCCAAAAGTGTTCTGTTGTCTTTCTGCTTACCTAAATGAGTTAAGTTTTTAAGTGTAAAAGAAAGTAATGCTTCTGTGTAATGCGTGAGGGAAAGGCTTTCTCAGCTGTGGTTTTTTCCAACAGATAAGCTTGATTTCCTCTGTGTATATTAATGCCACATGAAGAGAATGGTCTCCTGGAATGTAGATATGTAGTGCAGATGTGGAAGAACTTCCAGAGTACTCCTTTCTCACTGCAATTTAGCCATTAGCTGAGACTTAAATACATTTGAATATAAGGGGTTTGTAAACTATGCCACATCTTAGATTTCATATATTTTCGTTGTTGTTGTCATTTAACTTGTTGGTCGAAGTAGAGACTAATTTAGTATTCTGCCTGAACTTGAGCACTAACCAGTGGGAGGTGGTCAGTTTTGTGACTCAGATTTCAAGAGTTCTTGCTGTTCTGTCTGATTTGTCAAGGAGCTGGAATAAACTTCACTTTTGTGTGTGCATAGAACCATCTTCTATCTTAATCTGTGCTGTAATGTGTCCATACCTGTAGGTGTTGAAGCAGGAAAAATTGTTTTCTGTTCTATCCCTACATAGTAGAAAGGTTAGATCACACAGTTGGATTTTTCTCTCCCATCCAACTTCTGGTGCTGTTTTTTACTGTTGGTTGTTGTTGTTTTGGTTATGTGCTTTGTGTTTTCTTTCATAAACAGTAGTTTTGGATCCAGAATTCAAACGAATGTTGTATTTCTCATAATCCTGTACTTTAGGGATTATGTTCTGTCTTCTTAGGCCTGGGCTAGAAGCACAGTTTTAGGGAAGGCTACCTCCTTTTCTTCAGCATCACAAAAAATATGCATAAATACAAGCCCACTACACCCACTGGAAGAATGCAGCTGTAAGAAAATATTTGCACTATTGCTCTGAATTTTTTAAGGGTCTAGAAGACACTGTCCTGGTATAAGGCTCTCATATGTTTGGGAATGCATACTCCAGCAAGACATTATTGTTTGCTATAGTTACTATGTTGGAGGTGAAATCAGAGATAAATATATTTATAAATTGCATTAGTGGATGTTTTAATACTACTTTGCACAGTATCTTAAAATGTACTAGAAATCGCCTACTGACATGGATGATCAGATGGGATTTATGAAAGTGTTTTTCACAATTTAGTAGTTGCTTAAATTATTAATTAAAGTATTTCAAACACATAAAATTAGTATTTGTTCAAAAACAAAAAGGTATTTACAGAGATTAATTGCAGTTTTACTTTTATCAGTTCAGCAGCAAAATTTAATAATCCAAAACCTAGACCTTTATATAACTAACTGGAATTCACTTGTGGTAATAATGATATTTCTCTCTTTTATTTTTTTTTCTTTTAATTATTTTTTATTTTAGTTTACCATAGATCACAGTTCTCATCCAACAGGACACATGGCTCTTTTAAAGAAAGGTAAGAGAGATTAAAAACATTTGAAATATGTATTTTTTAAAAGAGGACAGAAATGTCAAATCTGATTTCTCATGCAACTGTTTTCAGAGTTGCATGCAAATTCATAGTTCTGGTATTGCTAAATTATTCTTAACTTTAAGTATGCCGATAAGTCTTTTCCTGTTAACTGTCAGATAAGTACCACCATAATTCACATTAATTCAAAATTACTCACTGCTTTACTTCATGAGAGTGGAGATTGTGAAGTTTCCCACCAATACTGCAAGTAGCTGCTGCTTTCATGTGAATTGTGCCCAGGGCACTGAAGCTGAATTTTACAGAGCTCTGCACATTAATGCTGTTCATACTCAATATTGAGGTGTGGCCCCAAGAATTTTGGGGTTCTCATTAGCTGTAATGGTTAGTGACTGAAAATGGACTTCCACATTTATTTATGTGCCCGAAATTTCTCAGAAGTCAGTGGGCTTTTTCCTCAGCTGGTTTGAATTAGGGACGGTTTGGTTTACCAATTTCAATCTAGTCTCGTGCCCAGTTGTGGCCAGTTGGCCATTTTGATTAAAATAGATCAAAACTCTGTTCCTTTTGCTCTTTTGAACACCTTAAATACATTTTAAAAAGTAACAAAGCAGTCTGAAACAAAGAATACTCATGTTGATGAGGGCAATGTATTCCTTCCCTGTTGTGCTTGATGAACTGTCACAACACCTGAAAATGCTTGGTTTGTGTTGAATGACTTAAATTTGTGCAAGACAGTCTTCTTGGAACTATAAATCAGAATATACAGTCAGGTCTTTGCCTTGCTTTGATTTTACTCATTTAAATTACCCCGCCAAAATAAGTATTTTCAAATATTTTTAAACATTCCTGGTTTCACTAGCATGGTGGGTTTGTTTTTCTAGAATTTTTAGGGTTTTGCTCAAGTACACCTTCAGGATCTGAACATTGAAATAGATCTAAAAATTCTCCTGTGTCTGAAGTTTTATCAGGGAAGCATAACAGAATGCAAGGGCTACATAAAAATAATTAACTCATTAAGTGAGTGTAAACAGACAACAGACTAGCCAGGAAGAAAAATGTTGAGTTCCTGATTAAATTCAGAAACATGTGAATTTTCTAGTACAGATAACCCAAATATATTTCTATATATATATATATTGGGACTTGTATGATTTAGTGAGCAAATTAACCATGAAAATCAGATAGTTGGGGATTACTTTAATAAGAGAGAATTATTGTTGTGTTTTTTAATGGAAAGTATTTAGCTTGATCAAATAGCATGAGAAAAACACAACAGGTTATCAAATTCTTCTATCACCTGTACTGGTTGCAAATTGGATTTTTTTTTCTTAGTTAGATATTTGGGAATTAGCAGTTATATTGATTGTTAACACATTCTCCCTCTTGTTTCAGTTAACCAGATCTTACTGTTACTTCTTGTCTTAACCGTGTGCGCTATTCTGTATAACAAAGTTCACCAAGTGCCCTTGGCATTAAGAAATGAAACAGGTAAGTGACTCTCACTTCAGTTTCATTTACGTTCCTGTTTTGTATTCCTCATGTCTTAACTTGAACAGCACTTTTCACCTTACTGAATGTCCTGCAGTAGATGAGCTACTCACACTGTTGCATATAGTCTGTGATGAAAAGCATTTTCCTCCTGAATTACTTGAATAAAATTATGGGAGATTGATAGTGATGACTAAGAGTTGTAATTCTGATTAAGTTTTTATCCAGATGTCACTGATGTAGATGGATGCTGGAGTATATCCTTACATAGCTGAACAGATTGGAGCTGTCAAGTGGTAATAAACTTTGATCACGACCTGCCTCCTTGGGAATGTTCTTGGCTTCATTATTCATTTCAGATAGACCATCAAATCTTCATATTTACAGCAGAAGTTTCAGCTGAAATTTTTATAGTGAAAGAAAACTCTTAGTTCAATAAGGTTGGACTAGTATTAAATGTAGTAAGCTATTTATATAGTATCTATATAAATAGCTTACTCGCTGCTGCCAGTAAAGGTAAACAAACTCTATCTTGATATAAATCATTTATTTTCAATATATTTTTGTTGGGGTTGTTATGACTCTAATTGTTATGTTTTAACCAGTACAGTTATATCTGTTTAAGTTCTGTAAGTTAATTGGTGCTAATCAGGGATATAAATCTTTAGCAGGAATGTGACCTGATTCAGTGTAGTTTAGGGTTTTTTCCCTTATATCATTAGCAATTTCCTGGTGGTATAAATTTTTGTACTCTTCCTTTCAAGCCAGCTTGCCAGAGAAGTGGAGCTCATGCAATTGCACAGTCTCTTTGACTTACCGCCTTCCTTTGATAATTTTGGAACCTATTGTTCAATTTGTACTAAATATAACTGAGAAGTAGAAGTCTCAAAGGTATTCAAACCAGTCCAGATTTCATGTGAATGAGCAGCTACATGAAGGACAGGCTAAATTGTGCCCCTGCTGAGTAGAAGATTCTGAGAATGCTCTTATTTATTCTATTTGGTTGCATCCAACAGTCCAGTCAACCTGCAAGTGGTTCTGCATTAGCAGCAGTTCAAGCTGTGTGCCTTGCAAGATGGGGATGTGTATAGGATGTGGTAAGGAAAAATGGAGTGGTGATAAAATGATTCCATTGCTTGTGGTAGTACTTACTCATTTTTGTGACCCAGATCTGATGTAAAATGGATTTGTTTCTGATAGTGGATTTAGAGAGCCCTGAGGAAATGGAGGAAGAAATCCCAGTGGTGATCTGCGCTGCTGCGGGCAGGATGGGTGCAGCGGTGGCAGCGATCAGCAGCATCTACAGCAACACAGAGGCCAATGTTTTGTTCTACATCATTGGGCTGAAGACAACCATCCCACACATTCGGTACACACCAGCCTTGCTTTGTTTTGGGCTGTAGTTAGAGCCACATTGTTGTTCCCCCTAGCACAGGCATAACCACTTTTGGACTTCAGAGGACTTTTCAGGAAAATGTAGTGGTATTGGGAGCAACCCCCAGGATTCTGTATGTGATGGAAAAAGGACCGCTTTGTCCTCCACAAGGCACTGAGTCGTGCAAAGGGGTGTGAAATAACCAGGCCATGCCATGCCTGTTCTTAGGTTTTTGTAGCTAGGCTGCAGAAGAATCTGTACTGAGGTAAGGATACACAGCCTACTTGTCACAATCCCACTTGGTGGAACTGCAATTGCCTCTTCTGTTGCTGGGTCTTCAGCTTCAGAGTCAAAAAACTTGCTGTTTAAAGCTAATTTCAGTTGATGATGTATTAAAGTTATAAAAAGAGAACCAAAAAATATTGTGATGACTTTCCTTTCTTTCCATTTCACTTAATTCCTTAATTTCTCATTTCATTTTCTATCATGAAATGAAATCTCAGGATTTCAATGAATATTCATCTCATTAAATTTCAGTTCATTTCACAGCACTTCATTCCATTCAATTTAATTGTTTTCACTTAATTTCAGAATTTTCTTCTTCTCAATTTCACTGCATTATATTTTCCTTTCCTTTCTATCCTTTTTGCTTTAATCCTTCTTTTCTCATTTTATTTCCCTTCCTGAAATGAAAATTCCTCATTTCTAGAAAGGAAATGAAATCTCTAGATTTCAATGAATATAATTTATTGAGGTTTCATCTCATTTCAATGTACTTCATTTCATTCTATTCCCTTTCACTTGTTTCACTTCGTTACATAATTTTCTCTTTTTTTTTTGTTTCATTATATTTCATGTCTCTTCTTTTCATTTCACTTCATTCCTTGATTTGCTATTTAATTTCCTTCATGAAATGAGAATTCTTCATTTCATGAAAGGAACTTATATCCTGACATTTCAGTGAATGTAATTTCATGAAGTTTCAGTTTATTGTTTCAGCGTTCAGGTTTGCAAACATTGCCTTGAAGAGGACCAAGTTGTGAATGCAAACTAAAACATTTCTTAGCAGTTCTCACCTCTGGCTATTTCACTTCTGTAGCCTTTGTACCCACAATTTGTGTCAGGAGAGAAAATAAACACTGGTGTTAAAAAATCTGACAAAAACATGAAAATAAGATTAGTTATAATAAGTCTAAAGAAAACATAATTAGGAGGTGATGTAGAAGTCATCTGGAAGAACATAAAGCTAGGAAAGGGAGAAGACTAACCTCAGCTTTAAACACTGTAGATAGGGTAAGAAATTATAATCTTTAATTATAGCAAGAAAACTTAGAAGAATATAGTTTATTGGAAATAATGGTGAAAGATTAGTTGTTTGGGCTACAGATGGAGTCTCTGGTTTGAGGAGTGTGTGGGGTGTTTGTTTTATTGAGGTTTTGTGGGAATTTTTTATATTTTAAGAATAAGTTTAACAAAGGTCTATGTGCAGTTGCTGTAGACATAATTGATTCTGTTTTGGGATAGAATAGATCAAGTGAGCTTTTAAGGTCTCTTATTATTCTTCTAAGTGTCTGTGAATTTCCTGCAGGAAGTATGAAATTCACACACTTGATATTTCTTTTATCACTTCTTTTTTTTCCGTCACAGAAAATGGATTGAAAATTCTAAACTGAAAGAAATAAAATTTAAGGTTGTGGAATTCAATCCTATGGTACTAAAAGGAAAAATCAGACAAGATGCATCACGTCCTGAGCTTCTTCAACCTGTGAGTCAATGAATGCCACATGACAAATTATTGAGGTTTTTAATACTTATTGTGGGCTTTAAAATGTCCTAGATCTGTTCCATTTCATGGAGGAGGTGTGCATATATGTCTCTTCCAATGCGAAAGCTAATGACCATGAGATGAAATTAATCAGAATGACAGCATAAACAATAGATGCTGCACACTTTTCATGGAATGAGTACTGCATCTCTAGATTTCCTTGCTGAAAGGTCTTGTGGATGTAAAAAGGTACAGGGGTTCATTTAGGATCGAAGTTCATATTTAGATCACATCTAGATCAGAAAATCCCTTGAGCTGAAAATAGCTGAAAGCTAGGAGAATACATGGAGCAACTGTTCTGTGTGCTTGCTCTATTTTTATTTTTCACTGAGCATCTGGTTAGGACCACTGTGAAAGCAGGGGCTGGGTAAAATGATCTGAATTCTTATGGTTGTTCTTACATTCTCAGTCCCCTTTCCCTCTGCTCTGTTCTTCATTGCTGTTGTAGCAGTTATCCCACGTCTGTGTCACCAGTCAAATCATTCCTTTTAGAGTGGATTGGTGATATTATTACACTTTGAAATGTTTGGTGTGATGTATGCTGTAAAAATGCACTAGGAAGAGCATTGGCAGCAGGTCCAAAAAGGTGCTCCTTCCACTCTGCTCTGCGCTGGTGCGGCTGCATCTGAAAGTGCCGTGCCCACTTCTGAGCCCACCAGTATAAGAAAGATATGGTCTTACTGGGGCAAGTCTAACGTGGGCTACAAAGATGATTAAGAGGCTGAAGCATCTTTTATATGAGAGGCTGAAAGAGTTGAGGCTGTTTCAGTCTGGAGAAGACAAGACTCAGGAGGTTCTTATCAATGTGTGTAAATACTTGAGGGGAGCAACAAGAGACAATGGGCACAAATAAAATGAAATTCCCTCTGAGCTAAAGAAAAGCCTTTTTAGAGCATGAGTTTAAAAGTCTCAGGTTGCCCAGAGAGACTGTTGGGTCTCCATCTGTGGACGTATTCAGAACCCAGCTGGGCATGGTCCCTGTCAGCCTGTTCAAGTGGGCTCTGCTGCAGCTGGGGGGTTGAACAAGAGGATCTCAAAAGGCCCCCTTGCAGCCTAAAGGATTCTGTGAGGAAGCAACAGATTTGGGCTACATGGTTAGGGCCATAGTGGATGAGTAATAACAGCAATAATAGTAATAATACTGGGCTTGAGATAGCAGGAAAACTATGGGGAAGGAAGCAAATGGTCACTGATTAGTGCTCAATAAAGGGAGAAATTCCAACTGACTTAATAGAGACAGAAGCCTGAGAATGCTGTGTTAAACAGCTTTACTATTTAGTCTTTAACTTTTCTTTCTCTTTAATAGCTGAACTTCGTTCGATTTTATCTCCCTTTGCTTATCCAGAAGCATGAGAAAGTAATATATTTGGATGATGATGTCATTGTTCAAGGTAAGCTGTTAAAAAGCAGTTTCTAACAGAATTAAAATCCAAGTTATTGCAGCTTTTACAGCCATTTGGAAATATGAGATAGAAACTGAGGCAGCTGCTAGGAGTGTTGAACTTAGGGAAACGACAAATAATTTGTTTGTTTAAATGCAAGTTTGAGGAAGAACTTACCTGCATATATTTTGAATAATTGTCATCAAAATTGTATGTGGATTTCATTTTAATTGATTCTGGTCAATTGCTAAAAGATACCATGGATTTCACTCAGATGCTGCAATGTTTATTAAGTGTGTGACATGCATTTCCTTCTGGTATTTAAATTCCCACAAATGCTACCAATTCCTTATCCAGAATTGCTGTTCTTGAGAGCAGGAATTTACTAAAAAAAGTGGATGGAAGCTCCAAACACTCAAAATATGGTTTTGAGCATCTTCAGCTCAGAATGTAAAGCAATTTGCAGAATCATGAAGATTTCAGAGTTTCTAGGCAAGTGGGAGCACTTAAAAGGCATTCAAATCCTGAAAAAACATTTTATTTTTTTCTTATCATCCTAGTGATATCTTTTGACGACCAATTATTTTTTTAAAGATTCATTTCTTGTGAGCTTTTTCTGTTCTGTTTCCAATTTGCTGGGTTTTTTTTTTTCTTTTACTCTGTAGAGCTGTTGTCTTCATATTTGTTTTATCATATTTTCTTGTTACTTTAAAGCACTTTTTCACCAGTGTTGTGTTTTAAGCCTGGTGGGCAACTAACAAAATTTCCTTTGGAAAGAGTGAGTGTAACTACAATAAACTTTTGAGCCTTTATTAGTCTTTGCTGTAAGAACATTATGACCAGTGAATTTGCACATGACAAAAGTATAATTCTCCACTGCTTTTCTGCACCTTTTTATAATTTTGTCTCTCTAGAGGCAGATTTCAGACCACCTGCACTTAAAGGCGTCACTATTTGCTGCTTTGTAAAAGACAACTAACCTGTTCTGTCTCATTTTAATTTGCCATAGACTTCCTCCAACACGGGTGTTTCCAGTGACAATCTCTGCTTTTTTGGTTTTGTTGCTCTGTCTGTCATCAGTGGGCAGCAGCAATATTTAACTCTGTAAGGTTCCAGGCCTTCATTTGGACTCCAATTTCACGAGCAGTTCAAGCTGAGCCTGCCACTCCCCCTTCACCCCTCCCTGCACCTGTGCTCACCAGCACTGGGCTCTCTCGTTCCCTGGGGGTGTCAGCTGATGATAATTGTGGAGCTGCAGGATAAAAGATGCAGTTTCACATCACACCTCATGGTGGACTGCTGCTGACCAAGTGGCCTTTCCTGTCCCCAGGCAGCTTCTCTTACGTGTGTAACCTGCAGTTGTGCAGCTGCAGATGCAGCTGATTCAGCTATTCGACCTGGCAGAAGACCAGCAGTACAAAAAGTAAAAGAGATAAAAGCAAAGTAAAACTGGAAGCTGTAAGGGGTTGGGATGCAGACTCACTCAATTGCTGTGGCAGTGTTCTGCTTCCCACCTGCCTGAAACTGTTCTGGCACATCTTGGGTACCTGACAGTCAGGTGATGAGTGAGGTGTCAGGCATTACAATGTTTCCCTCCACCAAGAAGGAGCTGGGTGGGCTGTGAAGCCAGCAGGGATGTCAAGTGACAGGCACATTTCAATCAGCCATTTCTGGGAATCCAGGTATCTTCCTAGGAGATAAATACGCCATAACAACAGGAAAAACCTCACCTGTACAAGACATTGAAATGGAACTTTTGTGGGACTTGAAGAGCTCAGAAAAATTGCCTGTGCCCTCCCTCTCCATAGACAAGCTCTATGTATGCAGAAGTTTGTAACCAGGCTTTTTTAACAGTCCTATCAGCTTCTGCTGTAGCTGATTTTGGACAATCATAATATGAATGTATGTAATACCAGTGATAATATCTAAAGAAAAACCTTAGGCATCCAAATGCAAATTTGAAAATGGTCCCATATTACAAAATTCAATAGGGGCTATCCTTAAAACTGGTGTGTGTGTAAGATATGAGAGCTGACGTTATCCTATCAGCTCTGCAGCAGTGCAGTAGGTGTTGTCTCATGCTTGTGACCTTTCTGTAATCAGGTGACATCCAGGAACTCTACAATACTAAGTTAGCTCCTGGACATGCAGCAGCTTTTTCAGATGATTGCGATCTGCCTTCTACACATGAAATGGTTAGAAGTGTAGGGATGCAGGTAAGGTGCCATTCTGGAATTCTAATAATGAATGTGTTTGCCCATAAATATAAGGTGATTTTATGTGTTTTCCCCAAAGTGAAAATTTTATATATATAGATATAGATAGCTTTGTAATAGAACAGGTAATTAAGGACTTTTTGTACTGGTACAATTGTGATGCCGCATGATTTAGCGTGGGTACCAAAAGACAAACATAGCAAGGTAAAAACCTTATCAAACTTCCATGGTACAATGTTGTGGGAAAAGTAATTTAATATCTGAAAGTATCCTGCCTTACAGCCTTGTCATACAGAACTCACGACAGGTAACCACCATCTAGAAACTTATCTTTGGGAGAGCATAATTAGCCTCCTTCTCAGTGAGAGTGAGGTGCATTTACATGTATCTTCACAGAGATTCATAAAGGATGAACGTACTTTTTTTTTTTTTTTTCTCAGAACACATACATGGGATTCCTGGACTACAGAAAGCAAGCGATTAGAGATCTTGGCATCAGCCCCAGTACCTGCTCCTTTAATCCTGGAGTAATTGTTGGTAACATGACTGAATGGAAACATCAGCGGATTACAAAGCAGTTGGAAAAGTGGATGCAAAGAAACGTAGAGTATGTGTAGAAATCTAGCTTCATGCTTTACTTTTAATACTTGTTTTACAATTTTATTTCCATTTAAAAGCTCTTACAGGTTTTTTTAACTCAGAGCAGTCTTTCTTTTGAGATCTTGTCAAGTGAAGTAACTCATGTTCCAGCATTTCCATCTGTTTAAATCTGACCAATTCTGTACCAGGAAATGGCCACTTGGAATTTTACTCTTGTGTTCAATCACAAACCACACTTAATCCTGAGGGACATTGAGAACATGTGGTTCTCATTTTGGGTGACCATCTTAGCCTGGAATGAAGCCACTGAATGATCTTCCCTTCCTGAGGCTAGCTTAAAGAAGGAGTATTTCCTCCTTGCCAGATACTTATTTTTAATCTTCTGCCTTTTGTACTAAAGATTCCTTGAGGTTTTTAACATATCATTTTTCCTTTTGCAGGGAAAACCTCTATAGCAGTACCCTTGGGGGTGGTGTGGCAACCTCCCCAATGCTGATTGTATTTCATGGAAAATATTCCTCTATTAATCCTATGTGGCACATAAGGCATCTTGGTAAGTTTAATTTCTCACTGTTTGCAAGTTGGAACTAAGATGAGTTTGTGAGATTGCAGTGCAAGACCTTATGTGCCTTTACCTCATGTGCCACTTACATGGAAAGAATATATGAAATATCTGAATATAGTGAGCCTGAAAAAAGTCAGGTGCAGTGGAAGACAAGGGGAGGCCTGGCAGTTTGTTGTCAGCATTTTGGAGGATGTAGTTACCTTTCACCAGGGAGTGGTGAATTATCCTAGGAAAAACATAATGGCTTAGCTGGTATGGTAAAATGAATAGATTTTACTTTGTTTTTAATCCCAGCTATGCCAAGATGTTAAAAGTGTTGAGAGAGGAAATGTGTTGAGGTTTTTTGCTGATGCAGTATAAGAGGCATCAAGCTGAAAAAAAGCTGCTGTATCATACAACTAGTTGTAAATTAACATGAAAGCATACTAATCAGATTTCTGAAAAAAAGTCACCTGAATTTAACTCACTCTACAGTGTCTTCCATTATCAAGAACTGCATTTTAATTATTTTTTTTTAATCTACCCATGCAGGTTGGAGTCCTGATGCCCGTTACTCAGAGCAATTTCTTCAAGAAGCTAAATTACTTCATTGGAATGGGAGATACAAACCTTGGGACTACCCCAGTGTCCACACTGATCTCTGGGAAAACTGGTTTATTCCTGACCCCTCAGGGAAGTTCAAATTAACTCGTCCTGACAGCTGATACTGACACACTGCATAACGTAGTGTATGGGATGCATTTAATAGTTTGAGACGCAACATGTTGTATGAGTGACTGATTTTAGAAAACGAAGTATTTGTTAAAAATATGAATAATTGACCATCAGTTTTGTGTGCTTATGGCAGGTGAGGGAGGCCAGAGTGACCAATACATAGTTCAGATTATCTTGACTTTCATGTAAGGTGAGGAAACAAGTTTATTTGACAATGAAGTACTTTCATTAAACACTTACAGAGGTGAAATTCAGTGTCAGACAGAGTGCTTTAATTTAAGGTCTTTCTCAGTAAGATTCCAATGTCTTCTGGTAGGAAAAAAACTACACAGGAGATAGCTGCAGTGTTACGTACAAGAAGTGTTTAGTTATCTAGCCCACATAAACAGCCTGAATTGAAAACCTGGGCACATATTACAGTGTTCTGTTGTGTGGTGACTGTTTTGTGGCATCTCTGACTATAACCCATCCTGTAGTGCACTTAATAAGATGCAAAATACATTCCAATACACTGCAGTACAATTCCTGATTTTATTGTGAAACATTGATAGATTTAAGACAGATTAAGAACTTCTGTATCACTGTAACAAAAAGAGCACCAGTTTTGAGGGAGGACACAGAATTGCAGTATTTAGTGGAATGGTCATTGCACGCTCAACTGTATTTCATACCCAGATAACCAAGTGGGTGATTCCATTAAGGAAGAGACCTTTCCCTTCCAATCAAACAGGACAGCCTTTCAGGAGTTACATCCTACTGTGCTACATACTTAGCAGTGCTAATTTCATGCTTCTAATTTTGTTGAAAATAAAACTAAATTGTAACAAATCCCTGATGCAAGATACTTTGAGCACCTGCAGGAAAACATCCATGTAAACAGCAATACATGATACAGTACACTTTAAATAACAGAAAAGTCCTATACCTTTCTGACAATATGTGGAACAGTTTTATGCTGCAGCTAATAAACACAATCAGACTCATAATGCACACTCACTCAATTGAAGATTCTCAGAATTAAACCACATAATTTGGGAAGAAACTGTAAACATCAAGCCTGCCTCACAACATGTTGACAGTGTGTGATCTCTGTAAGAGGTGTTACAGCAGGATTAGAACGTACACTAACCAGTTACACACAACTGACAACTGTCACTAGCTGTGAGGAGAGGATAAGTCACATTGGTACAGGAATCTCTGACCAGCATGGAGTGTGGAGATACTGTTTGTGTCTGTTTTCAAGTATGTGAAGCACCAAATGTTGTAAGATCATCAAAACTTTAATGTTTTGATCAGCTTATTGCTTTTACTTCATCTTTTCCTTACATGATAAAAGAGGGAAAGAAGATGAGAGTTAGGCACCAGGATGATTTTTTTTTCTCAGTCATATTGGACAAAAATGTGTATCATTTAGGCAAGTTCCTTAGAAGAGAGTTTCTACAGACAATTTCTTATTCATGGAACAGCTGTCCCTGTATTCAACTCAGTGTTTTTAAATTTTAAGTGGAATAAAGGGAACAACCTCTAAGGTACTACAGATTGAAGAGAGCTTAATGTTAAAAATTGCTAAACTGCAAATCTCTTTCATCCTGTGCTAATTGTACATGATGTAAATAACATAGTTGTATATGACTTTTAAGAGAATGCAGTCTTTCAGTTCTCTGTCTCATTCAAAGGTGTTATCTCCTGCTAAAAATCAGGTGAAGGGACTAACTTCATGGAAATGATGGAGTTTAAATACCACAGAATTCAAGAACTACCACTGCTCTTTGTTTTTGCTTTTTTTTAAAAGCAATTCCAGTTCCTTACATTGTAATTTAAGGGGGAAAGAGATGGAGTGGTAGAGAAACCTTATCCTAAGAGAGCTCAGCTAGGATATTTAGACCCTGTCCTGTGTGACAGAAGTTTTCCTCCCCAGTGCTGTGACTTGAGATGATGTCTTCACTCCCTTCATCCTAAATTACGGTACACTCACTGAAGAGACAGAGCTGTCTTGTCCCACCCAGAAAACAGCACCTATAGCTGCAGAACACAACTTTCTACTTTTTTAAGATGGTAAAAGGCAGGATTAAAAAGCACCATTTCCTTAACTGTGCATGATTAAAAACACCGCTTCACACACGGTAAGGGTACATTTTCCATTTTCCCCCCTGGATATAATAAAAGTATTAAGAGATATCCATATATTGAGGCATCAGTAAAAAGTATACTGCTGCTGTTCCTACCATGTTGCCATTTATGGAATAAAATTAACACCTCAAAGAAATTTTCACAAATGAGAAAGCAATTTGTTAAAACTGCAAGACATGGTATACATTAAATATAAAACTCATATACAAAAAAGGGCTAACTTTTTTTTAAAAAGTTTGGACAGTTCCTTAAAATTATCTAGTTCATTGATTTCAGCCTACCACACACTTACTTTGGACTATAATAAAATAACTAGGGGAGATAAAATACTATTCAGATGCTTCAGTTGGAGAACTGAGGTACCAATCTTGATCACTGCATTAAAACTGCAGCATGTGTGCATAGCTGAGAAGGAACAGCTCCTACATGCTGCTTCCCTCCTCTTCCTGTGTCATGGCAGCACTGAACTCTGGAATCTGGTCTGCAAAGGACTGTGTCATCCACTGTCCGTTAGGAACCTCACTGAAGGACGACCCTTCGCAGTACTGTGGATTGCTTTCTGCTGAACAAACAAAAATCACACAATTTTTAAAGGCAGTTGACACCAGGGGTTCTTTGTTCCCCAGCAATGGCTGCAGAATGAATGCCCCAAGCACTTTACCAGTTCCATTTGAAGACAAGCCGCACTGGTCCGTGTCATACGGTGCACGGTCACAGTAAGCTCCTCCATACGCTGCTTCATAGCCTGGGTCATACTTTTCTTCTTTGACAGCCGTCTTTTTAGCATCCTCTGCACAAACAGAACAGCTCAAGCATTAATATTTAGAATAGAAATTATCAAAGAGCACTTTTATCAGAAAACATTTGAAAAACTGCCACAAATTCCACAAGATTCTACCTGCTCCCCTTAAAAAATGTATCCTGTACTAAAGAGAATGGAATCTGTAATTCTCTACCACACAGTTTAGCGAATCACATCTCCCCATTAAAAAATTGTTTTTCTTTCTTTCTTTCTTTCTTTTCTTTCTTTCTTTCTCTCTTTCTCTCTTTCTTTTCTTCCTTTCTTTCTTTTCTTCCTTTCTTTTTCTTTCCTGCTAGTATTGTAAAGATGGAATCTGTAATTCTCTTCTTTCTTTCTTTCTCTTTCTCTCTTTCTTTCTCTCTTTCTTTCTTTCTTTTCTTTCTTTTATTGTAAACTACATTACATTTTAATGAAGTGTTAACAAAATAACAATACCTTGTGCAAGTTGCAAGTCAAATGTGTACTGCACCTCCTGGACCTCCGTGTTGGGTGCAATGCCCTTCAGTTGATCCCTTAAGTCTTTCAGCTTAATGTAATAATGAACTTTATCTTGTGCCCGAGGAAACTGAGCACATCTTGCACTGGATGATGGCATAACATAGCAGAGCTTGAGACAAAGAGCAAGAAAAACAGCATTACTGATCCCCAAGCTATGAGTTAATACTTAAGTGCATTCAGAACAACTTAACTGTTTTAACTATTTGTACAAACTTCAACTAATGCCACAGGTGGTTATGGAAGGGGCTAAAATGAGTTTCCACTTTTCTTGGTCAGCCATCTGTCTTGCCCTGAAGATAGGGCTGATTACCAGCTGCTAAGTGAGCACAATTTTCACCAGTTATTTATGTGCTGCAGGAGAAGCAGTAGCCATGTGTGTTACAAGAGAGCAGAGCACACTCCAGAACTCCCTGAACAAGCAGAGCTCTGAGCCATAGAGGTGTATGTGATAGCATGCAAAGATCCCAAACCAGTGAGGGAGGCAGCACAGGTTAATTAGACTGGCTTATTGGCCAAGTGCAGCTGCATGATGTACACCAGGCTGTGAAATTGTTGTTAGTGTGGTTGGAGCCAGCTTCAGTGTTTCTTTCTACCTCTGCCAACAGCCCTAACTAAAGACATCAAGTTAGTTCAAGAAAAATTGTATTCAATACTTCTATTATCATGCAGTCTGTATGAACAAGTACCAGTAAAGGGGATTATTTTTCTTACAAATACATCTACTGCAGAAGTCCTTAAGAGCTACCTAAGGAGCAAATATTTATCCAATGATTCTTCAGGCTCTAATGGCAGCACTTCCACCTTTAGAGAAAGGCAGCTGAAACTTGCAGCACTAGTAGTAGAGGATAGAAATAAGAAGAAAAACAAACCAAACTTTTGAACTGACAAGATAATGAAGCTTTAGAATAAGCTACCTTGGCAAGCAGTGTAATTGCCTTTGCTTTAACTTGTTTATAAGAACACATTAAACAATCCAATTATTAATGATACATAGCTGGTCTCTTGAGATATTTTCCAGCACTAGAGTTCTATGACTAATGCACTCTTCATCAAATTGCTTGTTTTATCTTAAGCATCCAATTTAACTTCAAACTGCAGATCAGCTTAAGGAGATCCAGTCTGATGGAAGCGCTTGGGCATGCCCAGATCTAGCAATGCTGAAGGGTTGCATGCAGTAACACAAGGATGGACTTGCTGTTCTTTCTCCCCCACTGTGGCACTGGATGGTCATGCTCAGTATCAAAATCCAGTAATACAAATACCCAGGGAATTGGACACAGGGGATCAGACGAAAATTATCATAAAAGCAAGCACGTGTTACTTGTATTTTACGCAGTCCTCAGAGAATGCACCAACCTACTAACCATAACATACCATCTCTCAAAAGAAGTCTGCAAGTCTGAAGAAGCTGCATTAAAGATGTGTCCAAAAACTGCACTACTCCCCTTTCTCTATCTAAGTAAAAACCTTTCACACCTCTTGTACTCTGGTCAAACTGCTGTTATCCTAAGTGTGTGCAAAGCCTGTGATGTCATTTGTTTTTAAATAACCAAAATGAAGTGCCCCAGTTTTGTTTCTCAGTCTCAATACTTACAGTTTCTGTATCTGGCACTTTGTGTGGCTGCAGCCCAAATTCCAAGTTCTTAACTTTAATTCCAAAAACTTCTTTACTAAAAATTTCGTAAATACCTAAAATGAAAATATAGGGTAAGTGGAAAAAAAAAGCTACTGGCAGAAAAAAATTCATGTAAAAGTTCTCACATTTTCCATTAAAAGCTGCTATACGAGGTTTATACTTTTGTAGCTTCTGCATCAGAATTCGCCCTCCTTCCCGAAACTCTTTGCTAAAAGACAAAATACTCAAAATTATAATCACAACTATTAATTCAATAACAAGCTTGATATTTCCTTTTATTGTCTTACCTGGAGAGGTCTTTGCTTCCAGGTGTTGTCCTTTCAACCATGTTTGTAAATCCAATCCCATATTTATGCGGCAAGGTGTGGTCATCCATGTGGTTCAACTGCTCATTACTTAGACCAGACATGAACAGACACTTCCCTGTGATGTAGGAAGACAGATATGCATTTACCTTTTTTCCAAGGAAAAGAAAACAGAACCAAAAAATTCCACTCAACTACTGCAGTACTGGAATGCTAAAGGAATAATCTATTTTAACAAAGTATCAGTTAATTTGGGAAGACTACTGCCCAATCCAGAAAGTTTTAAAATAGCCAATATTACTTTACCTCCTCCAAGAGGGCAGAAAGGCCCCAGTGAACAGGAATTCCTTATCATGATCCTGCAAACCACTCTTTTATTCTAGAAGCTCAGCACAGAGCTTTAGATTTTGTGAGACATTTAAGCAGTGATCAATATGGATTGGGGGGAAAGAATGTGGCAAATACAACACGTCAGCTGTCTTTGACAATCTTGCCATTGCTTCTCCTTTCGCTGGGCCTCTCTGACGGAACCTGCTGTCTTGAACTCATATTTAGCATATAAAAATCCCAAAAACTAACAAACCAAAACCCAGGAGAAAAACAAAAACCAAACTAGTTTAATTAAAATGCCACAAGTTCTAACAAAGTTCTGCAAATGGTAAAAGAAGAAAGAAAAACAAAAACGTACAAAAATGGTTTCCAGGTCCTGGGTAATGATGTCCCTTGTAAGCTGCCATCAGGCCAGGATTTATGCCAATCTACAAAGATACCAGTCCATTTTAACAATGACAACATGGCTTGCTAGTCAAGAATTTATTCAAGTTACAGTAAGGATACTTATTCAATTCTCTCTAAGTTACTGTTAATAAATAAAAATGCATAAATGGCACCTTCCATCATTATTTTCAAACCTGACAATTTTGCAGCAGTGCCTCATTTAGATGTGCAAGGTCAAAAGAGCAGCTCGGAGGGTGCAGAGCTTCTAGGAAATAAAGCGCTGAGTTATGGGCTCTCATGAATCTGTACTAAACATGAGCCTTAGATTTCTCAAAAATTAGGACTAAGTTACTATGGCTTTAACAGAAAATGCAAAGCCACTCTACACACAGGAAACAGTTTTATGTACTTTCTGTACTTTATCTTGCAAGATCTTGCCATATAAGCAATACAGATGAGTGAGCAGAAAGAATATAAATCATAACAAGTAAATACAAGACTTTTTTACCTAATCTTGAAACTGAATTACTCACTATCACAATGTCCAAATCAAAGGTCAAAATATCAGGCAAAGTCTTGGTCAGAAGTTCAGCTTCAGATACACCATTAAAACGGTCCACTTTTCTTTTGACTTTAAAAGTATCTGTGATCTTTTCTTGTTTGCCTTTTGACTTGGCTGGTTTTTCTTTTTTAGCAGCAGGCTTTTTGGGTTGCTTTGGCTCAGTTTCTTTGGCTTTTCTTTTCCTTCCCCCTTTTTTAACTTCTGAAACACACAACAAATATTCTTTTTGTAAATTTCCCATGTTGCATTGTGGATATTCAAATAGACTCAGCTAAATGTATGGACACAGAGAGAAATAAAAGAGGTAAATTTACCTTCAAAATTCATTAATTTAAGCAACACACCTGAAGCTTCCTCATCTTCTGGCTCTTAAAAGTTTAGAGATTCAGGCAGCACAGGCACTGGCCATGACATGACCACCCAAAGATTGCTCTCTCTCTCTATGTTCATTAATAATGTTGAGCTGTAGAACAGTGTCACTTTCCAACAGTTAGTATTTTTTAAATAAGCCACACTAAACGCAACAATTCTTAGTAACCAATTCCCTACCTGTGATTACTACAAAAACTAAGCAACCATTCAAACAAAAATATTTCAAATAAATTATACCATACTTCTCTTGCAGAAAGTTAAAAAATAGGTATTTTGAAGCCAGAATTTTAAAAAAACCTTCTCTAACACAATGTTAAAACCCATGACTTCAGCTAAAATAATGCATTTACCTGTTGAAAAAAAATCTGCTTTTCTTGGAACAAGATAATTATGTGAGACTGAATAATGTGCATACATTCACATGAGTTTACTTCCTGTCTTTTTAATTGTCTGTTAGAACACATTTCTTAAAGAATACCACTAATCAATACTTCTGCAGTGAGCATCAAGAAAAGGAAATCCAATAGGTCCAAGGAAGCAGTTTAAGAGCAATATTATTTTTTCCCAATCAATCACTCTCACTTCAGCTCACTGGCACAGCCCAGTCAAGCTACCTTTTGGAGGCTCCTGAGCAATGTTTGGCTCTGGAATGCCCTCTAGAGTCGGCTGCTCAGTCATCATTTCTGTGTTGGGCACTGCAGTCATCATCTGATGGAACGGAAATGAGTAAAACGCTTGAGCTTGCTGAAGATATGCGTAGTATCTTAGAGATGGAGAAAGAGAGAAATAATTTATCAAAAATTTAGAACTTACTGATGTACCAAACAGAATGTAAACATCAAACTTTATCAAGGCTGGCATGTACTGCACTTACATTCTCTGATGACTCTATTAACAATATTAACAAGGCACTAAATTATCCACAACTTCAAAGCAGTCTGGCTGCTTACCTGGTATCAGTTAACCCCAACATTAACAGCACAGTTCTCTTGTGATTGCCATCATGTGGAATTAACACAGCATTTGTAAGGGAAGAGTAGCAACCTTCTTGTCCATAGCTTCTACTGCCTCACAAATACATAGCAAGGACTTGGTGAACAGTAGATTTTCAGGAAATAATTTTATCATCTCAGATCTATAATTAAAAACACCAAATAATTTTTAGATATAGAGATATTTGTCCAAGAAGGCAAAAGGCATCCTGTATTAGCAACAGTGTGGCCAGCAGGACCAGGGCAGGGATTTTCCCCCTGGACTTGGCACTGCTGAGGCCACATCTTGAGCCCTGTGTTCAGTTTTGGGCCTTTCACTACAGGAAGGTGCTGGAGCATGTCCAGAGAAGGGCAACAGATCTGGGGAAAGGTCTGGAGCAGCTGAGGGAGCTGGGGGTGTTTACCCTGAAGAAAAGGAAGTTCAGGGGTGACCTTATCACTCTCCACAACCACCTGAAAAGAGGTTGAAGCTGGGTTAGTCTCAAGCAACAAGACAAGGCGAAATGACCTCATGTTGCGCCAGGGGAGGTTTAGATTGGATATTAGGATAAATTTCTTCATGGAAAGGCTTGTTAACTATTGGAATAGGCTGCCCAGGGAACTGTCTGAGTCACCACCCTGGAGATATTTAAAAGATGTTGTAGATGTGTAAATTTATGGACAGGTTTTAGTGGTGGGCTTGGCAGTGCTGGGTTAATGGCTGGATTTGATGATCTCAGAGGTCTTATCCAACCTAAATTATTCTGATTTTAAATTTCTCAAAAGAAGCGACCATTCCCTACTACACACTGGGTTTTTAAGAAACCCACAGTCTTGTGATCAAGACACTAACTTTAAGCCAGATATCCATCCTGAAACAAGGAGAACAAATATGAACATACAACTGTCAGATTCCCAGGGAAGTTGCCTAATGAAGCTATAGGATATTTTCTGTGTACAGGGAATACTTTAAACCCTCTCCAAGAAGAGTTCCATTCTATGTAAAATACTTGTGCAGTCAATGAACAAACAAAACTGATTTTCAGATTTGCATACATTTTAGGACAGATTTCTTGCGTGGGTTCAGAATTTTTTTTTTTTGTACTGATGTATATATATTACAGAACATTTAAATAAGTACTTTCAGTATCACGATGAAAAGGTAGTGATTTGTTCCTCTCCCCTCCCTTCAGTTCATTATTTTTTCCTCTCCCCGCCCCCCCTCGTTCATGCTAAAAACAAAGGAAAAAAAAAAAAAAAGAAAAAGGTAAAGAAAAATAAATGTTCACTGCAACAAAACCAGGTATTAACCAATTTTCAAATCCCCCTCGGGGCAGAGAGACACGATGGCGCCCCACGCTGCCCAGGGCCACCGCGCTCTCCCAGCCGCGGGCCCGGGAGCCTCAGAGCCCCGGGAGCGCCTTCCCTCCCTCTTTGTGCCCAGGGGAAGGGGAGGGAGGCGGCCGCCACAGCGCGGCCCCGGCTTCCCGTGGGACGCGGGGAAGGAGGAGAAGGACAACGGGCGATCCCCACTGCCAGGCCAGAGCGCGGCCGCGGGCGCCCGCCGGTACCTGCCCAGCTCCGGGCCCTCCATGCCGGGCCCTCGCTGTCGCCGTCGCCGCCGGCCGCCCCCGCGATCCCACCGACCCGCCGGGCGCCCCGCCCACGTGACCGCGCCGGCCAATAGGGGCGCAGGGCGGGGCAGCGGCCGCCCCGGGCGGGGGGCGTGAGGGGGCGGCCGGGCCGAGGTGCGGGCGCTGTGTCGCGACTCACCCCGCCTGGCGCGATGCTCCCTGGTGAGGGCGGGCCTCCGCACCCTCTTCCCTCTTCCCTGTTCCCTTCCCCCTCCCCCTCCCGGCGGCGGCGGGGATGACGCATGTCCGGCGCCGTCCGTGCCCAGGGCCCGCCCCGGCAGCCATGCCCGCCGGCGCGCCGTGGCCCACCTACCTGCGGGCGCTGGCGGCCAGCATGCTGGCCATGTTCGCGGGTGCCGAGGTCGTGCACAGGTACTACAGGCCTGACCTTGTAAGTGCTCGGAGGGTCCCGGTCGCTGGTAGCGTGGGTGCGGGATGGAGGGTCTGCTGGAGAGGCTGTGCCTCGGAAACGTGTCTGGCCTGGCGGTGGGCAGAGATCAGCCTCTGCAGAGGCATTGGCCAGGCCGCCAGGACTTCACTGTGTCCGAGTCCAGGCTCCTCAGTACAAGAAAGACAACGAGCTGCTGGAGCTGGTCCCGTGAGGGGTCACGAAGATGGTGCAGGGTCTGCAGCGTCTCTTTGGAGAGACGACTGAGAGGGGATCTTATTAATGCTTATAAATACCTCAGAGGTGGGTGCCAAGAGGATGGTGCCAGGCTGTTTTCAGTGGTGACTAGCAACAGGATGAGGAGCAAAGGCCATAAACTAAACCATAAGGAGTTCCACCTTAGTATGAAGAAGAGCTTTCTATTGAGGGTGGCAGAGCACTGGAACAGCCTGCCCACGGAGAGCATGGAGTCTCCCTCCCTGGACACATTCCAACCCACCTGAACACATTTGTGTGTGATCTGCTCTGGGTGACCCTGCTTGCAAGGGGCCTTGGACTGGACGATGTTCAGAGGATGATCTTCCAGCTCTAACAGTGCTGTGATTCTGTGACTCCTCGGGGGAGTCGCCTCCACTGTGAACACAGTATCATGTGTCGAGAAGGCGTCTCTGCTGTGGGAAGCTGGGTTTTGAAAAGAGTGTGCAAAAGTGGCAAGAAGGAGCTGTACTAGATTTAAATAGACTTTATTTCCTCCAGTAATGGAAATGAAGGTGACCAGAAGTTAACATTAGAAATTATGACAGACAAGGGTGTCAAAATTGCAGTCACAGAACTAAACTCTAAACGAGACCTTCCACTACGGATAATAATGGCTTGGTTTAGCCTCCTGGAGGTCTGACTTGAAAGCTTTCTCTCATCCTCCTGCTCACGTATTTTTCTTGGGTTTTTTAATTCTCTGGGCTACTTTCAAATGGGAAATAAGTTTAAAAAAATTACCATGCTTGAGCTGTCTGCTCAAAATTTAAGCAATGATGCTTCAGTCATTGATAAATACATTAGAATTTATGTGTTTTAGTAGTCTCTACTGTAGCCTTCATTACTGGCAAATTGACATATTTATTCAGAGTGATCAAATTATCTATATCTCTTAAGTAGTATGAATTTTGAGGAGGTGCAGTTCTTGAAATGTCATGTTATCTGCTACCTTTTAAAAATTTTATCTCCAGTTTCAGTGCCTTATTTCTAAATCAGGGAAGTAGAAGCAGTGAAACATTTTCTTCTATCACCAAGAGTATGTGTGGAAACTTCAGCTGTGCTAGAACATCTTTACCAAACTCTCTTTAATGGCAAAAATAAGCTTTGCTCCTTTAAAACAGTCTATTCTTCCTTTCATCTTGGGTTTTTTTTTTCCAAATTGTATTTTGCTACTATAAAATAAGTCAGGTTATAAAAAGGTAATTTCTTAAGGTGTTTTGCATGTAGGAATTATATTCTGCTCAGAAAAGACGGCAGAAAAATCAGAGTTTAGCTGTCATGCTCTTCCAGAGTAAGCTAATTTACTGTTTTGGGAGTTTAGTTTTTCCTCTGTCACAACACTGATGTCTTTCTCTGTTTTTAATAGAGCATACCTGAAATACCTCCTAAGCCTGGAGAACTGAGAACTGAACTGTTGGGTCTAAAAGAAAGATCAAGCGAAGTTCAGACTTCACAACAGTGACCAGAGTTTATTTTTGTTATGAAAACTAGAACTGATAAAATATTTATCCAACTGTTTAAGTTGCAGAAATACATATGTGAAATACTGTGCTCCTGTAATGTGTCTTTGCTTTCCTTTGAGCAGAGTTGCAGGCAGCATTAAAAATAAACATACAGTGAATGTTGTTGGTAAAAGTCCCATCAGTTGTGTGCCAAAATGCTTGTGAGGTCATAAATCTGGATTACATTTCAAGTATCCTACAGAATAAGGCATCAAACCATGACACAGTGTATCACTGACAGGAAATCTGCTTTAGTCCACTGTAAGGCTGGAATCTTACAGCTTGGTCATCTCAGTTAAAATGGGGCAAATATGTACACTGAAATCAGATTTCTTTGTGCTCCATTTGGGCATCTTCATCTGTCTATGGCAGCTTTTGATAGCTGCAAATACACAAAACTCTGAAACAGAAAGTGCAGGTTTACCTTTCAGTCTGGAAATGGAATCACCACAACACTCTCGCACCAGGAACTTGAAGATTCAGTCACCATCCTGTGAAGCTGGTTCAACAACCCAGTTTTGAATGGTACAGTGCAGAGCTTGGGAAGGTTGGGATTGTTTTACTTGAAAAAAGTGCCAGGACAAAGCACAGGCTTCATCCTCAGTTGACACTTAAGTTTAACTTGTAAAAACACAGTCTGACACATTACCTCGTAAGGAAACAAAAAGCTCCCTAATTCCTACTGCCAAAGTACTTGGAAGTCTTGTAAAAGCAGAAGGATCCAGAAATGATCACAGAAAGTGCTACATTTACATCAGTTCTGGCTATGAAGCTATTTCATTTATGCCTACGTAAGCTGGAGTGGTTTTCCTAGGAAGAAAGGTTTATTATGATTCTTATGCATGTGTGTGTGTCTGCTCTCACCAAGTTTTACAGCTGTTGGTGGGATGAACTCCTCTCCTGCTCTTGTGTGCCCATGTGTGCACTTTTTATGTAACTAGATCACATCCTTTCTCTCAGGCATCTTTATTAATGACAGCAGGCAGTGAGAGAGAGGCTCT